TCACAGAGCATGTGTAAGTGTCTGAGCTGGTCCACTACATCAAAAGAAGAGAACTTTCTTGGCTGTGGCTGTCAAGCCAAGAGGTCTTATGTGTCACTTTCTGAAAAATGCCAACACTATCCACTTCATATCTCGCTGTGCTGCCATTTTCCACTACTCTATCTGCTGGCTTCACCTCCACGGCTCTGAACAGGTACAACGCAAAATGCACTTCATCAGTGTGGTCAGTTGTGGGCTGTTATGGGGCTCTGTTTCTCCGTCGCTATTTAGTTGAGGGATTCAGTGTAGGCGACCCTTCATACACTACCAAGTAGCACTTCATTGACATTTGGTCCTATTCAGAGAGAATTTATGGGAAGGGGGTCCGCTGTTTGGAGTCGGCCTGTAAGATTTAAAATAGGGAGACGGCTATATAAAAGAAATAGGGGTCGGGTCAAGTCAAATCTGGGTCAGGCACAATTGTGTGAAGTGGATAAGAGTGTGTGTGGGCGTATACGTGGTAGCCGATAGTAATTTGTGTGCAAATGTGTCCATTAAAGCATTCTGAGCGGCTTACAAGAAAAAAAGGCAGATTTATTTTGTATACTCATGATTTGTTTAAATTGAAGGTCAATATAAATCCTGTAGCCAAAAAAAGAGATGGCGAGTGAGAATCACATGGGTTGTAACCTTGGTTTGAACCCACAATGCTGTCATGGGCCGCTTGGCATGCTAATAGGTCTGAGAAGACTCTGATCATTTCCGTTAACTTGGAGCAGGTTTGAGAATCTTCTCAGCCGGCGTGTTGTAGAGAAAACACAGATAAAGCAAGGCTAAAAAGATGGAGGAGGAGGAGCGAAAGAAGGGGCTTGGAAAATGAAAACAGTATGTAAAGATAAACAGATATTCATCAGTGAATGTGTGTGAGTTTGCTTTTTGTGTGCGCAGCCTGGCCGGGTTATCGTACCGCTGCACATTGCTGCTCCGCGTGGAGACCAATGGTGCGTGCTTTAGAGTCGACAGAGGGGATTGATACGGGGGAGGAAGAGAGGGACCCTCCCCTCCTCCCTCTGAACTCCTGCAACAGCCCTACAGAGGCCCCCAGGCTCCAGCCCTCATCCCTCCATCTTTATTTTCCCAGACCTTCCGCTGTAGTCCCGCCTGTACGCCTGCTTGACTTGCCGTGCTTGTCATCTAGCTGTATTTGTCATGGCTGGATGTGAGCTTGGCAGAAGCGCGTGCCAGTGTTGTTATTCTTTTTTTTTGGAAGCTGCAGGGAGAAAGGGGGAGCAGTTGAGGGTTGAAAATAACAGAAAGGATTGTAGGGGACCTCAGGACACAGTGTGGGCCACAATGTAGAGGCCACTGGCGAAAATAGTATTACAAGTATTGGTATCATGGTGCAAAATCTTACTGTGAACACAGAACTGTGAATGCTCAGTGGGAAGAGGAACATATTTTCAGGATTTCTGTTTTTTCATCCTGCGATTTGCTGAATAAATAAAACACGGTGCTAAAAAAGGCACTCAACCACT